CCAGACTCCTTGAACTGGTGTAGCAATTGCTATAGAAGTCTTTACTTCTGTTGATCTGTAACTGCTTTGGGATATTAGTAGTCCAGTCAATGCTTGAGATTCTAAATCTTGTATTTATATATTACCAGAGCATTGGAAGCTTTTACTTATGCATGTTGCCTTTAAAATTTTCTAGGTGGTATTTTGGTAAGATGGGCAGGAAGGATGCAGAAAGGCTGCTTTTAAATCCTGGGAACCAACGTGGTATTTTCTTAGTAAGAGAGAGTGAAACCACTAAAGGTATGTACGTTTATGTGTATCTCTCCTCTCTCCCATTGTCCCTGGCCAAGATGGACATAATAACCATTTTTCTGTCCATCACATTTTACATATGCATGTGCACACATGTATGTGTATAATGGCAGTTGGGGAGATAAGTTAAATATGCGTTCAAATTTTTGGTGAAGAACCAAGTATGACTTGTTTCATAGGTGCTTACTCCCTTTCCATACGTGACTGGGATGAGGTCAGAGGTGATAATGTGAAACACTACAAAATCAGAAAACTTGACAACGGTGGATACTATATCACAACTAGAGCACAATTTGAATCTCTACAGAAGTTGGTGAAACACTACAGAGGTAAGTCCAGGTTCTAGCGTCCCAATGCTTCCTTGTGCCCGTTGTGAGGAAGAAGAACTGTGTACATGGCTTATTTTTAAAATTCACAACTATGAAATTTCTTTTTGATTTTGACAAACAGTAAATGGACTAGTTATTTTTATCCACATTAGGATGTTACTTTTGTTACAGCCTTACCTCTGTTTAACTGCAAAGCTTATCTTTTCTGTTTTCCAGAACATGCCGATGGACTGTGTCATAAGCTAACAACTGTGTGTCCCACTGTGAAACCGCAAACACAGGGACTAGCAAAAGATGCCTGGGAAATTCCTAGGGAATCTTTGAGGCTGGAAGTTAAGTTGGGCCAAGGATGTTTTGGTGAAGTATGGATGGGTAAGAGCTTTATGTGACACCTTTCAGTTGTTCGTATTAGTGTTTTAACAGTAAATCAGTATCGGGATCTGAAAAGATAATTTGATAAAGAATTATGAGAAAAAGTACCAATTATGATCAGTCACATAAAGGTAAAAATAATATTCAATATAGTTCTAATTTATAATTATACTGTTAGCTAACAACACGTAAGCAAAAAGCAACGTTTTAGCAGAAAATCTCTTGGGTATTATAGGGGAGAATAAAATTTAATTTGTTTCTCTAGGAACATGGAATGGAACCACAAAAGTAGCGATCAAGACACTAAAACCTGGTACAATGATGCCAGAAGCCTTCCTGCAGGAAGCTCAGATCATGAAGAAATTACGACACGACAAGCTTGTTCCATTATATGCAGTTGTTTCTGAGGAACCAATCTACATCGTCACTGAATTCATGACAAAAGGTGTGTGACAGAATAGTTTGAACGTACTACATTTAAAAGATTATTTAAGATCCCAGCAACAAATTAAATGTTTAATTAATGTTAGGATCAAGCTGACTGGAGTGTAAGTGGTAATTTGATTAAATTAAAATGAGCCATGCTTGACCTACTTGAAGCAGTTCTGATTTAGATTGTGGGTGGAGGCATGATTATTTTTTTTGCACATCTGTGTCACCCTTGCTAATCTTCCAAGTACAAGATTGGCATTTTTTTCCTCAGCATTTTTTAGCGTGTACGGCCTGTTACGTTTAAATTGGATGGTATAGCTGGGAATATCATGAGAATATGCCTGCCTGTAGACAGATCGTGCTCACAATGAGAGAATCAGTTGGGTTTGGGGTTTTTGGGGGTTGGTTTTTTTTTTTTTGTTAGTTTTTCTTTTCCAGCAGTGTAATAGTAAATTTTAAAAAGGTCAAGGGTTTTTTTTTCCAGACTCCCTCCTTTATCTCCTTGTTTTCAGTCTTTCATCCTTCTTCCCTTGCTCTATGTCATTTCCCCCCACCCCCTCCTGC